TGGAAAGATATACTCATGGACTGGAAGAGTTAATATTGTTAAGATGTCCATACTACCCAAAGTAATCTACACATTCAGTGAAATCCCTATCAAAATACCAATAGCATTTTTTCACAGAACTAGAAAAAATAATTCCAAAATTTGTATGGAATCATAAAAAACGTCAAATACTCAAAGCAAATCTTGAAAAAGAAGAACAAAGCTAGAGGTATCATAATTCTAGATTTCAAGATTTACTACATAGCAATAATAATCAAAACAGTATTGTAGTGGTACAAAAACAGATACATAAATCAATGGAACAGAATAAAGAGCCCAGAAATAAACCCACAGTTACATGGTCAATTAATCTATGACAAAGGAGGCAAGAATAAACAATGGGGAAAAGACAGTCTCGTCAATAAATGGTGCTGGGAAAACTAGACAGCTACATGCAAAAGAATGAAACTGGACCACTTTCCTACACCATACACAAAAATGAACTACAAATGGATTAAAGACCTAAATGTGAGACCTGAAAACATAAAACTCCTGGAAGAAAACATAGGCAGTAACCTCTCTGAGATAGGCCTTAGCAACATTTTCCTAAATATGTCTTCTCAAGCAAGGGAAACAAAAGCAAGAATAAACTATTGGGACTACATAAAAAAAAAAAAAAAAGCTCTTGCAAGCAAAGTAACCACAAAATGAGAAGGCAACTTACTGAATGGGAGAAGATATTTGCAAATGATATATCTGATAAGAAGTTAATATCCAAAATATATAAAGAACTTAAAGAACTCAACACCAAAAAACCAAATTTGATTAAAAAATGGGCAGAAGATCTGAACATTTTTCTAGAGAAGCTATGCAAATAAGCAACAGACACATGAAAAGATGCTCAACATTGCTAATTATCAGGGAAATGCAAATCAAAACCACAATGAGATAGCATGTTATTCCTGTCAGACTAGTATCAAAAAGACAAGAAATAACAAGTGTTGGTGAGAATGTGGAGAAAAAGAAACCTTGGTGCACTGTTGATGGGAATGTAAATTAATGCCACTGTGAAAATCAGTATGGCGCTTCCTCAAAAAATTAAAAGTAGAAATACCATACGATCTAGTAGTTCTACTGCTGGATATTTACCCAAAGAAAACAAAAACACTAATTTGAAAAGATATATGCACCCCTGTGTTTACTGCAGCATTATTTACAATAGGTAATATATGGAAGCAACCTAAATGTCCATCAATAGATGACTGGATAAAGAAGATGTGGTATATATGTAAATGGAATATTACTAAGCTATAAAAAAAATGAGATCTTGCCATTTGTGACAACATGGATGGACTTAGTGGGTATTACGCTAAGTGAAATAAGTCAGAGAGAAAGACAAGTACCATATTTCATTTATATGTGGAGTCTAAAAAACAAAACAAATGAACAAACAAAAAAAGCACAAACAGACCCATAAATACAGAGAACTGGTAGTTGCCAGAGGGTAGAGTGGCTGGAGGATGGGCAAACTGGGTGAAGGAGAGTGGGAGACACAGGCTTCCAGTTATGCAATGAGTAAGTCATGGGGATGAAAGGTACAGCATAGGGAATATAGTCAATTGTATTGTAGCAGCATTGTATGGCGACCGACGGTAGCTACAATTGTGGTAAGCATAGTAGAACATGAAGAGATGTCAAATCACTATATTGTAGACCTGAAACAAATGTAACGCTGTGTCTCAACTATAATTTAAAAAATATACTTGATACAGATATAGATATATTGCTGATATCTATTATTACAGGTCCAGAATTAGGTGCCACTAAGACAGGATCTCATCATAGCAGTGGCAGCAAAAGTGGTCAAGGATCATCCTAGAAGGGACAGTTTGGCACTTTCCATGGAGAGGAGCCCAGCAGCAGCCTTGGCCATGCCTACTTCCCACAGGACATAGATGAAGACGGGGGCATGAAGAGGCTGTGGTGGTGCCTAAAGCCTGTATGGGAATGTGAAAGTCTGATTTGAAGACTGAACCACATTCTTTCCAGTATCAACAGTTTTTCTTCCTTTATGATCAATGTGATGCACAGGAGCTGCTTTAGGAGCAAATGCTATATCCAGAAGCATGGATTATATGACTTTTATATGAGTCTGGGATTGTCTATGAGCATCAGTATTTTTATTAGAGAAAACTGCATTTTGAAATAAAACCAACAAAAACAAGGTCTCCTGCAACTTATCAGAAGAGGATCTCTGAAAGCAGATCAACATGGCCATGCAAATCTTTTTGTTTTGAATTATTTGTTTTATTTTGAAAATATTTTTGAGTACATATATAATGTAACAATGTTACATTAGTTTCAGGTGTACAACACAGTGATTCAACAAGTTTATACATTATGCTATGCTCACCACAAGTCGGGCCACGGACTTATGTAATAAATGCTATTTATGTAATAAATGCTATTACAATATCACTATAAAGAAAGGCTGTGGGCCAGACTGCTCTCAATGGGAGCTGGTAAGATTGCCAACTGGGCTGCTTATGCATTTGAGCCAGTCACCTTAGTGCCTCCATTAGGAACTCTTGTCCTTGTTAAGATCTACAGTTATGGTCACTCATGCTCTAAATGAAGAGGGCACAGAGATATTAAATAATGTCTCGCAAACAAGGTGATCCATATTTTGGGGTTTCTGCAATACTTGTCATTGTAGTATTCTTATTAATCTTTGTGTTAGAACCTCACCATGGAAACAAATATTCTTGTTACATAACCATCTACTCTGCAAATGGAGTGCCTTCAGTCAGCTATGTTAAAGGCCTAGTCATTGCTTTAAAGAATACTCTTCTGGAAAGCCTCAGCTGAGACATTCCTTGGCCTGGATTCTGCTGCTAAACCTTATAATCTATGAAGGCAAACAGGTTATCTAAACAGGGCCCTGAACATACTGAACCCTTCTACATAGTGACCCCAAATGGTTTAAGTATTCTTTTTAGTGTCAGTTTTAACTTGCTCAGCTCTTCTTTTTAAAGAGTGGCAAGATATGCCTGTTAATGAGATCACTGGTACCTTGAGTGCCTCCCTTAAAATCATTGTGCGGATGCCAAGATTGCATGCCTTTAAACATATCCATTTAGTCTAGCAAGATGCCATGTCTTTCTGATAAGATGAAAAAATAATGAATATAATCTAATATTTCTAATATCCCTAATATTTTCAACAGCAATGAATAAAGTTTAACCTGGAAAACTGAACAGCTAACTGGTGGAAGTATGTCCCAAAGAAATGGAAATCTAACAGTTTTTTGAGAAACAAATTTAATTAAAACATTATTCTGTAATTCTGCTACAAAATGAGTTTGAATTTCGGAACAGATCTGAAAGTGACATTGTTCTCTTAAATAATATTCTCTAGAGAAAAACCATTTTTAAGATTTCCGTAATTTGGATCAAGAAAAATTAATTTTCTTATTTTTAAATTATGGCCATTAACGGAAATGACCTTAGAATGTGGCTGGCTTCTATTTTTATTAACATGGTATTATTGTATATGTATCTTAGGCCTTGATTTCTCCATGAAGAACTAATGTATTAATTTCAAATGTAAAAAAAAAAAAATCTTATTTCTTTATTGTCAAAGCTAAAAAGACATGTCCTTGTACCAGGGTACTGGTAAAGCAACCTACTAGTCAAATAAGAGTAGAATTTTTTTCAAAATACTGTTATAAATATTTGTTTGGGGAAATTAATTTGTGGGGATTTTGAAAACAGTCTGATATGATGTGGAACCAGATCTGGCAGATAGAGTAGATTATTTAAGTTTGTAATAACATTTTGGGTGATTTATAACTATAGCAAAGAGACCAATTTTCCTTCTGGCTCAGACATGACTCTACTAAAGAGAAATTTTGAAAATGTTTGGAGAAAGGGCAGTACCAGCAGAAGACACAAAATGTGTGTCCTTATGCATGACGGCCTAGATGTTTACAAATAATCAGTTCAAGAACAGAATGGGAGAGGTCATGTTTAAAATCTCTGATGTTTACTATATCTGATTATCAAAGTTGAGAAGTTTTATTTTTTAAGAAAATAAAAACACCTTTTTTTCTTTTTTGCAGACAATACCAGAGTTAAATTATTCTAAGTTTATATCTTAGGCAAAGAATCTTAAGTGCTTTTTATTTTCCAGGTTTAAAAAAATTTATATCCCACACACCCAACATTCCTTTCTATGCCTAAGAGATTAATTTCTCACCACTCTGGGTGATCTCAGCAAAGTCTTTCCAGGGTTAATCAAAAATTTTAATGCCAGCAATATGTGATATGAGAACACCGGTATATACACGCTACAATTAAGAAGTATTTTCTATATACACAAGTAACTGAGCTGTCCATTAAAAGCTTTAAAAAAGCATGGAAATTTGAAAAAGTCTTTGATTTAAAAGAAGTTGATGTCTTCATTATTAGTACATTATCTGACATCAAAAGAAACTCTGAATATATCCATTTTTACAACTTTATTGTGTAAGCTGCATATACTTAAGTATATAATTTAATAAATGTTGTCATAAGTAAACATCCATGAAATCATCATCACAATCAGTATAATGAGCACAACCATCACTCCCAAAAGTTTCCTCAGGTCCATTTATAATTCCTCCCTCCTCAGACAACCCACTAACTTGCTTTCAGTCATGACAGTTCTGTTTATATAGGATTTTATAGAAAGGGATCTCTACTCTCTTTCATCTGGCTTCTTTCAGTTAGTATAATTATTTTGAGATTCATCCATGTTATTGCATGTATCAATATTTTATTCCTTTTTATTACAGATAATTCTATTTTTTCCAATTTATTTTAGATATTTATTATGTTGATGTATGTTCCCTCTAAACCTACTTTGTTGAGGGTTTTTATCATGAAATGTACTTTCTCAGATTTTTTTCTGCATCTATTGAAATGGATCATATAGTTGTTGTTGTTTTTTTTTTACCTTAAACTTTTATGAGGATTTAAAAAGGCCTTTCCTTCATTTACTTTTAGCTATTCCATAAATACCAGAAGAGAAATTGGACACTTTGTAATGAAACTTAGAAAAATTTCGTTTTTCCATAAAGCAAACTTATAAATCTTTCCCTTTGGCTCCTTCTTCCAATCATCCTTCACTGTGCTGAAGAGCTATTGAGTTCTTCCAGATTTTTGATTAGGCAGGTGGTTTCCAAGCTGACTGGGCTTTCCAGGTAGGTAGTTCCTGCACAGGGTTTTCCAGTCACTGGGTCTATAACCTGTCCAACTTTGAAAGTGATCTCAGCCAGTTCATGTTTCACGTGCTTTGTTCGTGGAACAGGTAGAGCTTTGAGAAGCACAATATCCCCAACTGTGCACTGCTGAAGAGCATCGTGAGCAAAGTAGGTTTTACGCTTATTAAAATACTTTAATAAATAGGGGTCCAAAACAAGCCTGGTCACTCTCACTTTAGCTGTTTTTTGCATTGCTGTTCCAATCACCTTCCCCACGATCCATTTGGCATGGACGGATGAACAAACTACTGACATTATGTGGCTTTGGTCACCTCGCCTCCAGGTTCTCACCGGGGTGGTGTCTCACTCCTCCAAATTCACCCCCTGCAACTGCAGGGCTCGACCCGTGCTCACCTTCTGGCTCTGTTTTCCTGGCACATGTAGTCTGGATCGATCATATAGTTTTTATCCTTTCTCTTGTTGATGTGATATATCATACTGATTGATTTGTGAATATCGAACCACCCTTGCATACTGGGAATAAATCCTACTTGATCATGGTGAATGACTTCTTTAAGGTATTGTTGGATTCAGTTTGCTAATATTTTGTTGAAGATTTTTCATCTATGTTCATCAGAGATATTGACCTGTAGTTCTCTTTTCTTGTAGTATCTTCATCTGGTTTTGGTATCAGGGTAATGCTGGCCTCACAGAATGAGTTTGGAAGCTTTCCTTCCTCTTTTATATTTTGGACTAGTTTGAGAAGAACAGGTATTAACTCTTATTTAAGTGTTTCGTAGAATTCACCTAAGAAGCCATCTGGTCCTAGACATTTGTTTGTTGGGAGTTTTTTGATTACTGAATCAATTTCACTGCTGATAATTAGTCTGTTCAAATGTTCTATATCTTCCTTACTCAGTTTTGGAAGGTTACATGTTTCTAGGAATTATCCATTTCTTCTAGGTTGTCCAATTTGTTGGCATATAATTTTTCATAATATTCTCATAATTGTTTGTATTTCTGTAGTGTTGCTTGTTATTTCCCCTCTCTCATTTGTCATTTTGTTTGAGTCCTTTCTCTTTTTTCCTTGACGAGTCTAGCTAGAGGTTTATCAATTTTCTTGATTTTTTTCAAAGAACCAGCCCCTGGTTTCATTGATCTGTTCTATTGTATTTGTCATCTTCCCCGATTTTTTCTTGTGGTTGATTTCCAGTTTCATAGCATTGTAGTTGGAAAAGATGCATGGTATGAATTCATTCCTTTTGAATTTGTTGAGACTTGTTCTGTGGCCTAATATGTGATGTATTCTGGAGAATGTTCCATGTGCACTTAAAAAGAATGTGCATTCTGCTGTTTTAGGATGGAATGTTGTGAATATATCTATTAGATGCATCTGGTCCAATGTGTCATTCAAAGCCACTATTTCCTTGTTAATTTTCTGTCTGGATGATCCATCCATTGGTGTAAAGGGGGTTTTAATGTCCCCTACTATTATTGTATTACTATTGATTACTTCCTTTGTTTTTCTTATTAGCTGCTTTGTGTATTTGAGTGCTTCCATGTTGGGTGCACAAATATTTACAAATGTTAAATCTCCTTGTTGGATTGTTCCATTTATGATTATATAGTGTCCTTCTTTGTCTCTTGCTACAGTCTTTGTTTTAAAGTCTCTAAATAAGTAATTTAAGAACTTTAAATAAATGAATATTGCTTCCTATGTAAATAAATAAATATTGCAACCAGGCTCTTCATTTCCATTTGTCTGATGGATGCTTTTTCATCGCTTCACTTTCAATCTGCATGTGTCTTTATGTCTGAAATGAGTCTCTTGTAGGCAGCATATAGACAGGTCTTGCTTTTGTATTAATTCCTTCATCCTATGTCTTTTGATTGGAGTGTTTAGTCCATTTATATGCAAAGTAATTGTTGATAGGTATGTATTGCCATTTTGTTACTTGTTTTATGGCTACATTTGTAGCTCTCTGTTCCTTTATTCTCTTGCTCTCTTCTCTCATAGTTCGCTGGCTTTCTTTAGTGATATACTTGAATTCCTTTCTCTTTATTTTTTGCATTTCTATCACTGTTTTTTGATTTGTGCTTACCATTAGGTTTGTATACAATATCTTATGCATATAGCGATCTATATTAAGTTGATGGTCACTTAAGTTTGAACCCATTCTTCAGTTTTATCCCTCCACATTTTAGGTATATGGTGTCATAATTTATATCCTTTCATTTTGTGAATCCCTGGACTGATTTTTATAGATATACTTCATTTTACTGCTTTTGTGTTTCCTACTTTTCTTACTCCTGCTTATGGTCTTTCCTTTCCATTGAAAGAATCCCTTTTAACATTTCTTGCAGGGCTGGTTTAGTGGTCATGAATTCCTTTAACTTTCATTTGTAGAAACTCTTTATCTCTCTTTCTATTCTGAATGCAAGCCTTGCTGGATAGAGTATTCTTGTCAGCAGGTTTTTTTTCTTTCAGCATTTGAATATATCATGCCATACTCTTCTGGCCTGCAGAGTTCTGCTGAAAAATCAGCTGATAGTCTTATGGGATTTCCTTTGTATGTAACTGTTTTCTCTTGCTGCTTTTAAAATTATCTCTTTATCACTACTTTTTGCCACTTAAACTATTATGTGTCTTGGTGTGGACCTCCCTGGTTTGATTTTGTTGGATCTCTATGCCTCCTGGAGCTGGATATCTGCTTCATTTCCCAGATTCAGGAAGTTTTCAGCTTCTTCAAAACAACTTCAACAACTTCAAAAGTGTCTGAGAGGACAACTTCAAAAGTTTCATTTCTTCAAAAACATTTTCTGCCCCCTTTTCTCTCTCTTCTCCTTCTGGGATCCCTATAATGCAAATTTATTATGCTTGGTGGTGCCACTGAGTTCTCTTAATCTATTCTCATTCTTTATTATTTTTTCTCTCTCCTCTTCAGCTTGGTTGCTTTTCATTACTCTGTCCTCCAGGTCACTGATCCATTCTCCTGCTTCCTCTAGTCTACTATTTATTCCCTCCAGTGTAATTTTAATTTCAGTTATTGAGTTATTTATCTCTGGTTCTTTTTGGTGTTTCTATCTCTTTTGTTGAGGGTCTCACTGAGGTCCTCCACTCTTTTCTCAAGCCCAGTGAATATCTTTATGACCATTACTTTAAATTCTTTATCAGGCATATTACTTATATTTTAGTTAGCTCTCTTGCTGTGGTTTTGTCCTTTCATTTAAGACATATTCCTGTATCTCCTCATTTTCTCTAATTCTTTGTCTATTTCTATGTGTAGGAAAGTCAACTCGATCTCCTACTCTTAAAAGTAATGGCCTTATGAAGAAGAGGCCCTGTAATGTCAATGTGCACAATGTTCCCTGTTCACTAGAACCTGGCACTTCAGGGGTATCTCCTATGTATGTTGCACCCTACTATATGCACCCTACTATTGTGGCTAAACTGTATTTGTCTTCAGTCCAGTCATCTGCAATGTCTCTCTGCCTGCTGCAGGCAGTTTTGCTCCCTATGTCATTAGTGGACCAGTCTGGGGCTGCCTTGGGATTGAGCTGAGTCAGATCAGGCATTTGCCAGAAGTGCAACAGCACCAAATTGCAGGACGCTCTCCCTGTGTTGTCTCCTGAGAAGCTTTCATTGACAGGCAGGGCCTGCAATTCTGGCCCTTGTTGGGGCTGCCTGCATACTGCCAGGCTTGTGGCACTGCTCTGGATGGACTCCTACCAAGGGTGTGTTGGAGGGGGTGGGTCTGCAAGAGAACTTCGGTGTGGGGTGTGCACTGTTAGTGAAGTTTGCACTAATCTGCTGCAGGACGGGACCTGCAGCCACTGGAAAACTGCTGCCCAGGCCAGGATGGAGGGAGCGGGTCCACAAAAGAGCATGGGGGTAAGGTACACTGTTAGCAAGTTAGGTAAAGAGTGTTTGCAGTGCGCTGGTTCCAACAGCTGTCCATGTATCTAGGCTGGAGGGGCTGAGAGAGGGAAATGGCACCCACCAGCTCCTCTATTCCTAAGGAATTCTCCAAAGATCCCTGCCCTTCCAGCACAACTCTGAGATTAGTAAACAAATCTCCCTCCCACATACCCCAGGCATTTTTCAAACTGCTGCTTCTACGCTGTATCTCAGCAGGGCTGTTTGTTGTGCTGTGTCTTTAAGGGCAGGGACTCAGTTTCCTCCTGCTCTCCAGCTCTGCCAGAGCTGAAGTTGCTGTTTTTTAAAGTTCCAGGTGTTAAGCCCCACTGATTGTAAGAACTCATGAAGTTAGGTTCCTCTGGTTTTCAAAGCCAGATATTATGGAGATTCGTCTTCCCAGCCTGGGTCCCCTGTGCCTGGAGTGCTTGATGTGGGGTCTGCTCCTCTCCTCTCTGTGTACTCTGCTGTATCCTCCCTCCCTGCGGACAGTCTCACAGGTCACTTTGGCTCCCAATTGTGTCTCTGCCCTTCCTACCTCCTTCAATGTGGCCTCTTCTCTAAATTTAGCTGCAGAGAACCTGTTCTGCCAGTCTTCAGGTCCTTTTCTGGGTTATTTACACTGATGTGGATGTTATCTAGGTGTATCCATGGGACAAGGTGAGCCTAGAATCCTCCTACTCCACCATCTTCCCCGGAATTCCCAGATATTCCTTCATTCATTTAAATTCATCATGTGGATATACCAGAGATTTTTTTAAATCCATTCACCTGTTGATGGTCACTTGAGATGTTTCTAATATTTAATTTTTATTAATAAAGTTGCTCAAACACTTATGTATAAATCTTTGTATAAACATGTGCTTTCTTTTCTCTTAGGTCACAGATAAGTGCATGTTTAACTTTTTAAGAAACTGCCATGGTGTCTTCCAAAACAGTTGTACCATTTTACATTCCCACCAGCACTGTAGAAGATTGCTGGTTACTGCACATCCTCCACAACACTTGGTACAGTCAGGTTTTATCAATTTTGGAATTTCAGCCACTCTAATGGGTGCAAAGTGATTTGCATTTCCTAATGGCTAATGATGTTGAGCATCTTTTCATGTTTTTTTGCATCCATATTTCTTCTTTAGTGATGTGTCTGTTTAAATCCTACCAATTTTTATTGGGTTGTTTATCTTGCTAATTAGTTATAAGATACATATTTTGCAAGTATTTGCTTCTAGGCTGTGGCTTGACTTTCATTTTCATAATGGTGTTGTTTTGAAAAGCAAAAGTTTTTGGGGCACCTGTTGGCTCAGTCAGTTAAGTGTCTGACTCTTGATTTTGGCTTGGGTCACAATCCCAGGGCCATGAGATCAAGCCCCATGTTGGGCTCCAAGCTCAGTGGGGAGTCTGCCTGAGATTCTC